GTGTCTAGCAAGCTATCGGGACTTCATGGATTAGAGTAAGCAAATAAGAACCATCTAAGATTTGAGTTCATCCTGTGCCCAGATGAATCCTGCCACTGTGAAGTGGCTTTTTTGATGGCACAAAGTCATAGGCTATTGCTACCGAGTGTGACTTTGAACTAAGTGTGTCCCCTCTCAAGGGATACAACTGCACTGTAGTTTGTGGGCTGAGGAGTCCCAAGTCTCAAATCTTATGGCCTGTCTGGACTTTTTCATTTCTTCTGGGCTTCATAATACACGTTGCTGGAGTCCCACACAACTAGACACACACACTTTTTCCTTATAGGGTGTACATAGGAGACATAGCTGTGTAGTCCATGCTTCAATATATGTAAGCCCAGTTCACTTACACAGAGACAGCATAATAAAGATTGCTCCCAGTTTGTCAGGTTCAAATGACAGCTACTGGGCAATATTGACAAGGGCTTGTTTAGCATGAATCCATTTCAATAATTTTAGCAATAGCATTTTAAAACATATTTGACACATAAGGGAAATATTATCCATATGGGACAGAGCAGGAGAGCTAGATGACCTGGGAAAGAGAAAGCTGGGTATTTGGTTCTGGGAGCAACCCATGCTACTTTCAGGCATAGTTTTGGACACATCATGCCTACATCAAAGCATGCCTTCACCACAAGGTAAAAGGACTCAAAGATCAAAAGCCAACAGCAGTGGTACAACCACTGTGGACCTTTGAAGGTGCAAAGTGTTGCAGTAACTTCTCGCAGTTGGATCATATTAATAATACCAAACTGACAGGAAGCCACCTCTATTTTCACACATTGACTCAAAAATCCACAAAATCTGACTTTCAAGAATACCAGACAAATACATACGCATTCACGCACACACACAAACACACATGATTAGACACAAACACATGACAATGATTACAACCACAGAGAAAATTAACTCTTGGGTAGATGAACAAGTAGGCATTTCAATAGTATGTTTTCAACAGTACTGTCTTAAAGAACACATTATCGAAACACTATGTTGAAAATATTAACCCAAAACGTTTTTCAAAAAGCCATGGATGAGGATTTAGTCATGCTTCATGCAACACAAAACAGCAGCAAAACAGGGTGGAGTCACATGGTAAAAATTGAGATACTTCATATTAAGAAATATGCCCAAACACACTAGGAAAAAAGAAAGCCATGACTTTGTCTTAATAAACAGTACTCACTCAGTAAATCAAATGCAATAGTCTGGCAATTTATTAACAGTGCTCTAAGCCTTTACTGAGTACTGCCCAGGAAATAAAGTTCTTAATAGTTTATCATCAAAATAGGTGTAAGGAAAAACAAACAAACAAACAAAACAAAAAAACAGGTGTAAGGGCTTGGTCTCCATTTTGTGGATAAAAAGACATGAATTCTGCTTTAAAACTGGAACTTGACACAGGGCGGAGGAGGAGGTCACTGGGAATGTGGATGTGGTATGTAGACAAAATGGCACCAGAGTCTGGTGGACACCAAGAACAACACATCAGAACAATATAGAAACAGACACATAGGGCTGGAGAGACGCGTCCTCCTTTTCAACTTGAATAGCATTTGTTCCCATCATTGGTGCCATGACTGAAAAACAGGACTGTGCCTTTCCTTTTTTAGGTTTCCTGCAAAGAAGTTAGTGCGCCATCCAAAACAATCAACAAATCAAACAACAGCCATATGCTCCTTTCGATTTTTATGTACTCTAGTTGGTGGAGAGAAGTTTATATATATTATATACATACGTATACAAATATATATATGTATATAGTCTATTATAAATACTGATAGACAAAGGGGTAGTGAGATTATATATATATGAGTATATATATATATAAGAGAGGTTGGTGTTATCTTCCTGAATTCTTGGCAAATGGTTAGTCCTGTGGTTAGGAGTGAAGGTAGAGGGTGGAGGTTGGAAGGGAAGTTAACGAAGAGTGCATACCGCTTTCGGCTTCTGCAAAACGACAAGAAAAGAATTGAAAATCAAACAATTTGATAATAAATTGACTGACACCAGAAGGAAAGAAGAAATAAAACCTTTGTTTCAAATTATTGGAAGGAGGTGTGTGAAAACAAGGTTTTTCAGCAAAGCATGGAAACAGTAATATGGGGTGGAACCAACAACAAAGAAGGCAGTTAAACACAGGTTGAAGGTAAGGGAGTTAAAAGGAGAAGTCTCTAAATTATAAGATCTGGCCCTTTAGAACGTGTGAGAGGGAAATAAAGGGGATGTTTTTAACTGAAGAAAAAATTAAAACTATCATCTCAGGAGGTATCAAAAATTTGATTATATTTAGCATGGTTGTTAGGTTTGATTCATCCTTGTGTTTTCTCAGAGGTATAATCCACATTCCCTCAAACACACCTTTTTCCACAAGAACCAATGTGCATCCACAATGAGACCAAGCCACATCTGAGAATTAAAGCTGGCAACGGCACACAGAAAGCCAAAACAGAGCCAAACAAGTTCTCTTTGTGGTTTTTGTACCAAAAAAAAAAAAAAAAAAAGGAAAAAAATATTATATATAAAAACTACCTATCTCTATAAACAGGACTTTGTTGAGAACACTTCAGATTTGGGAATTAATTGGAAGGTCCATCACAGAAAAGACTGTCTGCAGGGAATGCTCTGAGTCATTGTTCTCAGAATGGTAGCAATGGATTCATACCGCATCATCAACCGTATCTCATCCTCCCAGCTTGGGACCAAAGGGTCAAGGTTCAGTATTCAGTTTCCTGCCACAAAATTATTCCAGAATGGCCGAAAAAATACTATTCCGCATCACCCACATCGTGACACTTTTTTTTGAGAGATGCACAAAAGTGATCAAGAGAAAACACCAAGTTACACAAAAATTTACTGACTTGGCAACATGAAGAATATCCATTTGCAAAAATCCCAAGATACACATTTCCCCTTACACAGGTACAGATAATTATTAGCAAAAACACAGGCAAACAGTAATCCCAGAAAATTCTACCTGATCTATTGCACACCAAATCACCAGGACTCTCGGGTTTGTTTTTACAAATAATATTCTTCACTTTGCCAACACAGAAAAGAAAATGTATATCTATATACATATTTATTGTTACGGCCATGTTTTACACGTGGCCACCAAATCTACCATTTTCTTTTTCTTTTTGGTTGATTTGGATTTTCAAAAGAGCTTCACATTTGATCAGATTGACTTTGTGAGCAATCGGATCTGGAGGATAACAGAAAACATTGGATTGACTTGCTTACAATCCAGTGTTTTGTTTTTTTTCATAAGAGACACAGACTATACATTTGGAAATTTGGCTTTTTGGGTCATTCATCTGGATGATGAAAAATCCTTAAATGGTAATAGCAGGAAGCAAACTAATTGTGGGAACCTGAGGCCTATCTATACTCTGTTTAAGGCATTTGTTGGAGGGTGTCAGGCCTTGATTTTTTTTTTTTTAACATTTATTTTCTTTTTGGTGAAAATATATATGGCAGATAATACCCCCATTCAACAATTTCTACATGTACAGTTCAATGACATTGGTTACGTTCTCCACATTGTCACCATTTTTGCTCTCTCCCCCCAAATTGTTTCACCCTCAATGATTAGATTCACTGTCCCATACACCACGTGTCTATGCTTTAGGGTTATTGTTGTCAATTTTATCTGATATAAACAATTCTTTAAAAGAGTGCAATGCTCAAGGTGAACATTCCTTACTAATTCAGCTAAATTGCTGTTTAGTTTGAAAAGGTTTCAGTGGATAGTTTTGGTTCAAAGTTCAATATTATTCTCCAGGTAACAGATTCAGGAGTTCCTCCAGCTTCCAAGAGCCAAGTAAGTCTGGATTCTGTAAGAAATTTTCCATTTTTTTCTATATTTTCCCCCTCTTAATCAGGACTCATTTATTGCAACCTTGGTCAAAATATTCAGTAATGGTAACTTGGCACCATCCAGTTCTTTTGGTTTCATTTGCCATGAAAAAGGAAGTAGTTCATGGACCTCCAGTCCAGTTCCTTCCCAAGTCTCCTGCTCAGGAAGGCCTATCTCCTATACCTAGGAACAAAATATGGATGTCTTTTTAGAGCACAAAGACCTGGGAATGTCAAGGACTTCTTTCTTTCAAAAACGATTACTCAGTATTAGGAAGCAAAAAATCATCTCTATTATATAGACTAGAAACAGTACCCCATCAACAAAACTTGTTAACCCAATGTGTCCCCTCTTCTTGAATGAACTCACATATTGACTGGGCTGTTATCTGTTTCAAGCAGACCCAGTTCCTCATCAGCCTGATTTGCACATAATTAAGTACAAAATAAATAAATAAAAAGAGCTTCTGCCTCTGAGCCTCATTCTCCTGGCTCATTTACATGAAGCTGCTATTCTGCCACCTGGATTTGGGTTGCACCGGGAGAAGCACATATGGTACACAATAGGCTGCTTGTAATTTGGCCATCAAGGGGGCTGGTGTCTCCCATCACACTCTGCCCCATGTCTGCTGTAAAGGAGGCCAGAGTCCATCTGCTCTCTGCTCATAGCAGTCAGAAGGGTTCTAGGACAAGGTTTGCCCCAGTTTTAAGCTTGGAAGGTGAAAAGTGCAGGTTGTCATGTTGTTGTTGTTATGTGCCGTCAAGTCGGCTCCGACTCATAGCGACCCCTCCTTGGGTTTCCGAGGCAGTATCACTATGGAAGTAGGATTGCCCAACCTTCCATGATCAGGTGGAAATATGGAGACTTTATATCTTTCCCCCAGAGAAACCTTGTCTGAATGCCCAGTGGAGTTTGGGATGCAAGGTTGGTCTGGGAATAGAAGCTGCAGTTTCGGGTTAAGCATGCCTTGAAATGTGCCCTAGGGTCAGAGAGGCAAATAAATACTGCTTAAGAAAGAAGAAGTGGACCCAGCATTTCCAGAGTGCACTCTCACCACCATAAATGTCAGCCGGCAGCTGGGTTGCGGCAAACTTACCGGCTCTCTCGGTTGGCAGATTTGTACTCAATGGCTATCATTAGGAGTTTGAGCTTCACAAAACACAGCCTGCAACAAGATGGAGAAACCTCCCAGTCAGTGCATTGGAGCGACCAGAGCCACATAACAAATACTGTTAAGACCTTTCCATCTCCTAACACAGTCATTATCCAAGGGGGACCCTCATTCCACAGCCACTGTGCCAAAGGGAGGGGGTGGCAACAGCACCTTGCCATCTTCCCCATTAAACCAGATTTCTCACAAGTGATAAGGTGCTGAATGCTCAAAGTGCAAGCACTCAGGTCTGGATGTCTAGACACAGCCCCCAGCAGGGATTTATGCCTGGGAATTTACGCAGGGCCAAATTCATTAATTACTCGGTTGGGTAGTAAAATGTTAACTACAGGGGGAGGGAGATATTTGGAGCAGCTGGACCTGCTATTTGGAATCCATTTTGGTCTTCTGTACAAATGGCTTATATTGTTGTTCTGAGCAGACCCCTGTGTGCTCAGAATGATAGTAATAATACTTAGGCTCTGTGTAAGTGCCCAGCACATGACTATGGCACTGTGATTCCTGGCCCCATCCAAGCGGCCTCACCTCGTCTGGCCTGGGCTCTGACTGCAGCCACAGTCCAGACTGCCTTGAGGCTGGCTTGTGTTTTCTCCAAGCCTTCACTCATGAGATTGCTTCCACTTCAAATGCCCTCTTTTCCCTATACCTCCTCCTGGGCCCACATCAAATCTAAGGTGTTCATGTAGGTCTTCAGCAACTACGACCCTCTGGTGTTCCATTCCCAGAACTCCTTCAGCACTTTGTGTCAAGAAAAATAAATAAAAGACAAACTGCCATTGAGTCGATTCTGACTCACAGCGACCCCCATTGGGTTTCCAAGGCTGTAAATCTTTACAGAAGCAGACTGCCTCATCTTTCTTCTGCGGAGCAATTGGTGAGTTTGAACTACTGAGCTTTTGGATAGCAGCCAAATGTCTTAACAACTACATCATCACAATTTCTTAGCACCTTGTGTAGAACCACCTAATTTAGCCCTTACTCAATTTCATACTAGCTTTGGTCATACCCTTTCTACAAGTGTCTGAGCTTTGTCCCCTCAACCAAAGTAACTTTTTTAAGGGTTTTGGACTTGTTTAGAATTCCCCATAGTGCTGTACATAGAACTACTGATACTTCCGGAGGTCAATAAAATGATTTTCACTTATGGGTTTCAACTCTCAGGAAATAATACGAGGTATGGTAAAATACTCATGCACAAAGATATTCAAGATAATTTACTTATACAGGGCAAAAACTTGAAAGCAATCTAAAGGCCCAATAACAGGGAAACGCTAAATAAAATATAGTACAATACGATATTATACAGCATTCAAAATGACTTTTTAAAGAACATTTCAAATGTAGGATCAACAAATAATATTATACAAAAAGATACAAAAATGTAAATAATGTGATGCAATTAGATAAAAATATGTATTTACATACTCACAGAAATAAGAGCCCACATTAAAAAATTACCATATTTTCTGAATATAACATGCTCACGTAAACAAGCAAACACATATAGTGCATAGTGTACATAAGAAACTAACTTGCAAGGTGTTGTTCAGTTTCTACAGAGCTATGTGATGTGTGTGTTGAGTAAAATATGGTACATATGTTTCACCTTTTTCTACAAAAAGAGCTAGTGCTTATGTTTCAAGGACTTTTTGGATAATAAAACATGGGTAGAATAACAGATTGAGAAATGAGTTGATGGTTATTTAGCTCCACTGCAGACTGGGGCCTCTACTGGTAGCCTCCTTGAATCCCCACAATATCCCTAAGAGGAAGATATTACCCAAGTTCTTCAGACTTCTATTGTTATCTCCATTTCACAGATGATGAAACTAAGGTTCAGAAAGCCCATATAACTTGCCCAAAATCTCCACCTAGTATGTGGCAGGGTATATAACACCTTAGCTCCAGTGAAGTCTATTTTATATTGGGAGAGACAGGCAACAAGAAAATATACAAGTGAATAAATAATATATTTCCAGATGATGACAACTGTTACGCAGAGAATAAAACCACCTAAGAGAATAAAGAGTAACTAGGAAAGGTTATGTCAACAAGGCTGATCCAAAAGGGTCTTCCTGAGGAACTGATGCTGGAAAAGAGAGCACTAGAGCATGATGAGAAGCAGCAGACAATGAAAAGATCTTCAGAAAGAGCTTTCTAGGAAGTAAAAATAGTAAGTGCAAAGGCCCTGAGGCAGGAATTTCATAGAATACCTAGGGGTATTTCAGGATCTGCAATAAAGCCAGGGAGGCTGGAGCATAATACTCAAAGCTGAAGTAACTGGGAATGAGATCAAGAGGCTCTTGCCAGTCCTGCAAGGATTCTGAAACTTATTCTAAGTGGAATGAGAAGTTTGGGTTGGTTTTAAATAGAGAAGCGACATAATTTAGATGTACTGGATATGGAGATGGGTTGCTTACAGTGAAGGTGCTAACGAAGACCTCATGTTCTCCAGTGGGAATGAGGCCACTACTCTTTCCTCATGTGAGGCTTTAGTCCCTGGCCCTGCCTTCAAATGACAAACAGGTTCTAAAGGACTACTTCTATCCAGGCATATTTGGGCTCTCCTGGTGATGTGCAGGTTTTCTGATTCTCGCCAGCAAACTCTAATGACCTGGGCTTTGTGCTGATTATGCAGTCTGTTAAAACACTGACCCATGTATCCAACTATAGCTGGAAAAATGCCCTTCTTAATTTATGTCCCATAGAGCACCATTAACATACACTCTTTATGGGGCTGTTACTTTGGGAGCTTAAATTGTTTTAAAAATCTGAAAACTTATGCAATGTTTATTGAGCCATATCACCAGATTAAGTATCTGCTTTTTAACGTAAGTAAAGCTAAATGCCAAAAGATCAAGGAAAATGCTAGTCTTAGCATGGATCACAAAAAAAGCCTAATTTACCGACATCCTCTGGGCAACAGTCACTCTAATTTGGGACGCTGGTGGTTCATACAATCAAGGATCTTAATTGCTTTAATGGACTCAATCCTACTGGTGAGAAGGGGAGCAATGGTTTACATAATAATAGTGAGTTATATCTTGCTAAGGAGCTCTGGTAGTGTAGTGCCAAAGGCACTTGACTGCTAACTAGAAGGCTGGCGGTTCAAACCCACCAGCCACTCCTCAGAAGGAAGATGGGGCAATCTACTTCCTAGTGATACTGCCTCGGAAACCCAAGGAGGGGTTGCTATGAGTCGGATCCGACTCAGACGGCACATAACAGCAACACAACACATCTTGCTAGCTCCTACAATACCATTTTATTTATCTTTTAACTGTTCATTGTGATTTGGGTGAAAGTGTACAGAGTAAATTGGTTTTCCACGTAACAGTCCATACAAATTTTGTTTCATGACACTGATTGCAATCCACGCAACATAACAGCACTCTACCCACTTCCTCCCTGTAGTTACCATTCCCCACTGTCCTTTCCCATCCATTCCTGCCTTCTGAGCTGTATCCCTGAGGAAATGCTGCCCTTTCGATTGCTTCTGGTTGACTGTCCTAAGGAGCAAGTATCTCCCTGTGTTATTTTTCCTCTGAAAGGTGTTTGGCTAACACCATGGAAGTAAGTTCAGGCCTAGGATTGAAGGGTGGCTAAGGGTCGTCATCTCAAGGGTTTGACCAGTCTCTATCAGACCAGTAAGCCTAAAAATAAATAAATAATTAAAAAAATTCACTGTTGTCAAGTCGAATCCTACTCACAACAAGCTTTCCTTGGGTTTTTGAGGTGAAACCTCTACAGAAGTAGGTTATCCAGTCGTCCTTCCAAGGAGTGGCTGGTGGGGTTTGAACTACCAGCCTTCTGGTTAGCAGTCAAATGCCTTAGGCACTACACCACCAGAGCTCCTAGTCTTTATTATTTTGAGTTCTGTTCCACATTTTTCTCCCATTCTATTCAAGATCTCCTATTGTGATCTCTTTCAGAGTGGTTGGCAGTAGTAGCCAGGCACCATCTAGTTCTTCTGGTCTCAGGATCATGGAGGCTGAGGTTCAAGTGGTGAACTAGTCCCTTGAACTGTTGCCATATGTCCCTGATTTTCTTCACTCCTTTCTGCTCCAGACAAGTAAAAACCAATAGTTGCACCATAGATGGCCGGCCACTCGAAAGCTTTTAAGACCTCAATCACTACTCACCAAAGTAGGATGTAGAACAATGCCTTTGTGAAGTATGTTATGCTAATCGACTTTGATGTCCTCTGCACTATGATCCTGAGCCCGTAGGCCCAGCAACCCACTCTCTCAAGGAATTTGGTTATAGCTAAGAAGTTCTCATAATTTTGCCCCATTAGTTCTGCTATATACATGGACATTTTTACAATGAACAAAATGCAATGCACTGCCATGGAGTTGGATCCAACTCATAGTGACCCCTCCCCTTGGGTTTCCAAAGTGGTATCACTACAGAAGTAGATTGCCCAACCTTCCTTCTGAGGAGTGGCTGGTGGGTTTGAACCACCAGCCTCCTGGTTAGCCATCAAATGCCTTAGGCACTATGCCACCAGAGCTCCCGACATTTTTACAGGACATATAAATATGTATGTAGTAATATTATCTGCCAAACGGGAGCTCTGGTAGCATAGTGCCTAAGGCACTTGACTGCTAACCAGAAGGCTGGCAGTTCAAACCTATCAGCCACGACTCAGAAGGAAGATGGGGCAATCTACTTCTGTAGTGATACTGCTTCAGAAACCCAAGGAGGGGTCGCTATGAGTCAGGTCTGACTCGATGGCATTTAACAACAACAACATGGTTTTGTTTGCCTACCCATACCAAATCACCTTTCCTGTCTACTTATGTATCCACTCATAGACTAATGTTTGTTATTAATGATAATGCAGGAGTGTATATGCAATAGTGTTTACCTCTGTTGTCTGTGCAACTATCTGTGTCTTCCTTTTCCTTAGTGATATCCTACAATACCGTTTTACCAACTGGATTAAAAAAGAAGAAGAAGAAGAAAGAAAGGAGCTTCCTAATGCAGGAAAG